CGATTCTGATCCATCTAAAAATGCTAAATTTCAGCAAGCACTGTCAAATTCAATAGGAGTGACAGAAAAACGGTTCTTTATATAAAAAGGTAAATAAATTATTTAACCTATAAAGTAAAATCACTTTATTATAATAAAAAATATTAAAATAGCCCAATAGCTTTATTAACATGAGACATAATTGTACGAGTGCTTACAATACTTAACATTATTTTACTGCAATCTCAGAAAGTTTTTTTTAAATAGAATAAGGGTGACAAACGAGCACACAGTCCACCTGATGGTAAGTGGTTGCTACGGCTCATACACATCTACATTTATTCTCGATTACGTATCAAAATGTAGATGCGTTGTCACCCGTGAGGACTAAGATATAATGCTTCGTTTCCAGTAAAAAGGTCCTCCGGTTCTCTACACTCACCATACGAAACACAGCAGGGTTAAACTGCTATTTTACATGTTATTCCGTGAGAGCGTGGCCCTTCCCCGGTCGAGCCGACCCATTCGTGCTACAACTATACCTAATAAATATACCTGTAGCATGGCTCTACCACGTAAAAAAAATTGACGTTGAAAATTTAAGTATTTTTAGAAGCAACTTTGCAATTATTTTCTATTGAGTTAATTTTTGTGGAATCGTGTTTTGCAAACCGCCACCTGAAATACGTACAATTTTTTTTCGATAATGACGTGAAATTACAAAACCATCCCCATGCATTTCAATGTTGCTCTATTCAGCCTCTTAATATGAACGTACCTCGGATTTCAGAGATAATGGAATATATAATATTATATTATTACTGTCCCTTGTGAGGCAACCTTTATACTTATATACATATTCTCATCATATTTTTATGGTTGGTTGGAAAAATTATATCTAAATGCAAACTTTCACAGGGTAAATTTTTTTTTACTATTTTCACCCAGCAACTACAATCCCATCGGTAAGTGGTTATGTAGTCTAAGATGGTGAATTGCACTGACTTAACAAAAACCTATTCACTCTAGCCTAATAGTACTAGGAAAGTATTATTTGCGACCTATTTGTGTGTGTGTACGTGCGTGCTTGCGCGCGTGAGCGTGTGTGTGTGTGTGTGTGTGTGTGTGTGTGTGTGTGTGTGTGTGTGTGTGTGTGTGTGTGTGTGTGTGTGTGTGTGTGTGTGTGTGTGTGTGTGTGTGTGTATGTGTGAAGAAAAGCGTATGAGAATACGTGAAGAGGAATAAAGGTTAAGTACTAATTCGCTTACCTGTACGAGGTTGCCACTCGAGGACCTTTCTTCCTATTGTTTATATGTTTTCCAAGTTATATAGCTAGCCCATTGCCATTTCACTGTAATATTCCGTTGAGCTATGTCAGTTACTCTGGTTCTAATGCAAATACCTTCATTTCTAACTTTATCACGTAGAGAAACCCCTCTCCAATTTAAAATTTTTACATTTTTTAGATGATAGTTTGTCTAACAAAAAAAACCATAAACCCAAGAATGTCTATATATAGTTATTTATACTTAGGTAAGCACCATTCTTTTATTCATTTAAATTGTTTGATTTAATTTGATAACAGTGTACTTAAATGTAAGTATCTGTATCTTTATTTCTTTCCCCAATAATATTTTATAAAGTCATACTTATAAAAACAGCGTTTTATTGTAATACATAATTATAAAATTCATTATCAACTAATTAATAAAAATATGCAACAATAAAATTACATAGGTATTAAAAACTATCGCAATCTAAGTAACGAGAGCATGTTCGTCGTTCCACATCTAAATTATATAAAAATGCATTTTTCAATTTCACTGATCAACGTCGCCGCAAAAATTTATTCTTCTTTGGGCACTTTAAAAATTCATTTATTTAGTAAATAATATTTACAGTTACCAGTGTACAGATATTAACTAAATTAAGTATTTCTAGTCATAAAAATATTTATAATTGAGTATAAACTTTTAAAAAACTAATATATATTTGAACGAAGTCGCTCTAACACCGACGTGCGGTCCACCCTCGACGATGTCCGAAAACGGACTGTGACAGAGCTTACATGGCGACGGAGCATGCGCGCTCGCGTAAATATATTCAATTTCAGGGAAAAATGATATATTCTCTTATAAAACGGGTAATAAAAATAAAACTCTCAATTAAAAATATTAATATTTTTAAGACCTTTTTTTTAGTGTAAGAACTATTTAAAAAGCTTGTGCCGTTTTGGAGAAATTTTGCAAAATATGACAAAGATAGGTACTCTTTGGGGATTTTTTTTCTAATAAGGGGTTGACAAAAATACAATTTTGTTAAATTAAAAACATTTACCAAATCTTCTTCTGTTACCTTGTATTTTTTCTTTGTGGATTAAATGAACAGTTATTGAGATTTTTTTACTTAAATATCCTAGATTTAGGCATTTCAACCACTGTTAAGGCCTTAATACTATTTATTACACATGGATATTTTTCAAGAAACCAGATTTTAAACCTAAGTTCAACAAGTGAGATGCGGGAAGTAGACTGTGTAATAACCTCCGAAGGAGGCCGAGTTATAGCCGAAATAAGAATTTTAAATTTTTTGGTTTTTGAACATTTTGACCCCCTAAGAGTGTAATGAGAACTTTTTGCTCCTATTCAACCATAACTCCCATCACATCCTCTACATGATAGGCTATTCAAATGTGTCTAAATGCCTAAATTTCGAGCCATCCCGCAATTTTTTTGGTTTTTAGCCATTTCTAAAGTCTTTACTTCCAACAAATGGGATGCGGGAAGTAAAGACTGTGTAAGAACCTCCTAAGGAGGCGGTGTTATAGCCGAAATAAGAATTAAATTTTTTTTTGGTTTTTGCCATTTTGACCCGCTAGAAGTGTAATGAGAAATTTTCGGCCCTATTCAACCATGACCCCCATGACATCCTCTACAGTCCACATGATAGGCTATTCAAACTGACTATTCCTAAAGTTCGAGCCACCCCCCAACTCATTTCTAGTCTTTACTTCCAATTACTTCCAAATATATAAATAATGATATACCGTTAATGCAGTTTTTGAAAATACGAATAAATAAAGCTTCTACTTTTATTTGAAATTATCCGAAATTGAATATGATTTACAAGCAACAACGTTTTTGCCTACCGATCGACTCTTACAAATGTGTGCGTGCGCAGTAAAATCTGTTAAAATTATGCATTACCACGCATTTTGAATTTAAAAGATAAAAAGGGCAGAATGTTGAGATCTTTTTAATAAATTTTTCTTCACCATCGCTGCAAATTTGGCCGGTTATTGCAAAATAACCCTGTATATCTGTTGGTTATTCCGCTTTGTTATTTAATGGTAAAGGGAATCCAGCTGGTGTCCGCTTTGCATGTCGGTGGAAAAATGACTACCAGGCTAGACGGTAGAGCCATTTATTTTTTATTTAGCTATGTCATTACATTTTCTTAACATCGACTCTTACGACACGACACTCAGAGGATAAGATAGGGCGATCGAATCTCTTACGCCTTTATCACATGGCTTCATTTTTTACATTCAATGTGGATAGTTGCCTGCATAACTTTCGAAGTTTCTGTTCTATGTAAAAAGTGTTCAAAGTGACATCAACTTTTTAATAATAAACACCTGTATTACTTGACTGTGTTTGTTTATTTGCTCCTTTGAATAGTTACTACACAAAAGTCATTAGAACTTTTAATTACAGACTTTATTCACATAGAAGTTTATATTTGTAAGTACCATTTACTCTAGGTATATTATGTAGATTATGAGTCTTCTTAGGAGTAAAATAAAAATATATACTCGTATATATACGCCTAATGTAGGTAGTAATTTATTTGGTGGTGTCTACTTAAATGGTTCTTTACTCTATATCATGTTTCCTAAACTTATAGCCCTATGTACACCTATTAAGATATGGGATAGTGGATATTCTTATGTCGCCACTACACGGTTAAGTATAATGTGATTAGTGACACGTCTCCACCCCGAAAACCCTGCACTATTCACACAAGCACGTCGCAGCCGCAAGCAAAGGCGGTGGTGGCTAGTCTCAAGCAAAGAGTATAACATATAATCCACTAGTCGTGTCTTACTATTACGTGATCCAGGCTGGATCTGCTGCTGGCTGGTCGTTTGCCATAAAGTAAATTTTACTGCGAACGTTCAATTGGCAAACCCCTAGGCGTTGGCGTGTCCTACTTTAAGAAATCCTGCTCCATATTAAAATCCGTTGTATGCTTTGTGGTGAAAGAGCGTGGTAGTTTTGCGGGCGATCGACATTTACGGGTCAGTACCTAAGAAGTTTTTTTACGTGGTAGAGCCATGCTGCAGCTATATTAGTAGGATAGTTGTAGAACGAATGGGTCGGCTCGACCGGGGAAGGACCACGCTCTCACAGAATACCAGCGTAAAATAGCAGCTTAACACTGCTGTGTTTCGTATGGTGAGTGCAGAGAACCGGAGACCCTTTTTACTGGAAACGAGGCATTCCAGAGGATTGATGTAGATGTCTATGGGCCACAGTAACCACTTACCATCAGGTGGACTGTGTGCTCGTTTGTCACCCTATCCTATAAAAAAAAATACTTGGGGTTAAAAGTCAAAAAATAAAATAAAAGTGAAATCCGATTATCCACCCCGGCTGGGGTGGATAGATGAATAGACGTTTCCGAGTATCCACCCTAGGGTGGATTTTTTAGGGTAGATAAACGGAATAACCCGTCAATTTTGATAGTTAGAGACAAATCCTCCATATTCCTATAGGTGGAATACGTACTCGTACATACAAATATGTAGTCGTATGGTGCACACATAGCAGGTAGATATTTAAATAAAACGAACGCTATTATATATTCTGTGACGAAAGTAAGCAGCGTCTTAATCATTTATTCGAGTCAAAAAAAATCTAAGAGATAATTAATTAATACATAATATAATTAACTAATGCATTTTGTATGTTAATTGGAGATGATCTTAGTATGTAACTGTTTTGTTCAGTATTTTCTTGTTAGTTATGCGTTTGGTTTAATACTGCAAAGTATGAATACGAGGTGCGTAAAATCTGTAAAAAAGAATAATACGAAGTACATTTTTAAATCTTATTTTAAAAATAAACAAAAATTTAATTGCAGTGATATAAAATAAGAATTTCATACACAAATTTTATGTTACTCATTAATATCTTTCATGTGACCTTTTGTTTATTATTATTTTTAACGTGGTAGCTCCACGCCGCAAATATAATTTGACTGCAGCACGAATGGGTCTTATCAACTGGGGAAGGACCACGCTCTCACAATTACAATACCAGAAATCATCGAATACCAGCGTAAAATGGCAGCCTAATGCTGCTATCTTTCAAATGGTGAGTATGGAGAATCTAAGACCATCGGGATGACAACGCATTTATATTTTATTCTTAATCGAGGATATGTGTCGTGTAGGTGTCTAAAAGCTACAGTATCCATATACCATCAGATGGATTGTACACACATTTGTCACCTTTATTTTGTAAAATAAATATTTCTTTAAGTTGCAAGATATTACAGTTCATTTTCGCCACATTTAAATCAGTAATAATTTGATTATTGATTTACATAGACATGAACATACATCCATACCAGTCAAATAAGGTACATTCTTTTTGCGCTCCTCTGCAATAGGGTAAAAAACTAAAATGATGCCATACTAGAAAGTTTTAAGGATGAATTCCTTCGTTTTTGAACCCAAACAATTATAAAGATTTTAGTTAACCAACCGATACGAATGTAGGTCTCGAAAGCGGAATATAGTGTCCAGCTTTAAAGATTATAGGTTTCTTCATACACTCCATAGTTAAGAGAAGCAACTTCTTGAAGTATATATCCTGATCGTACCAGGGGCATTGGTACAACCTGTCGCGCAGCTCTTGACTCTGAAATAAACTTAAACAATTACTGAACAAAAAACTAACACGCAGAGGTCTTTTGTAGAATTTGAATAAACAACGTAAACAGTGTAATGCAGTTAATATATTTCATCATTGTTGCATTAAAAATGCGCCAAATTTAAAACGACTAAGTCCTATGTCTGATCCAAAAATTAACAATTTTTAGCATAGATAAATATATATGTAGCAAGCTAAATTTCACTTTTGTACAAAAGTTGTATATAGCTTGGATTTGAATCATGCCAACAGTGCGATTGTGAAATTTTACGGATTTTATCGCGTTTAATGTTACTGATTTTAAGTCCCAACTTTCCGAATGCTTTGCAGAACCCATAGTCAAACACCTCTGTGACATCATAACGTCTGTATATAATTCGTAAAAGTAGTTTTATTCAATGTACAATGTACGCGTAAAAATAAGAAATCTTTTAAACTGATAATATAAAAACAACATCGACTTATAATCGATAACGATACATTTTTATCTTCCCGCTATGAAAATCAATGATTTTCAAAAATCGGGAAGTTATTAGTTTATTTATTTATTTATTCTTTATTGCATTCCTTAACCTAAAAGAATACAAAGGGCGGACTTAATGCCTTGTGGCATTCTCTACCAGTCAACCCATGGAGTGGTGAGAATTTGAAGTAGGTGTAGCAATATAGAATAAAAACAAAATAGAAATTTATAATTAATTACGTAATATATACATTTTACTAATATATACAATAAATAAACTATAAAAATATATCCTATTTATACACGTATACAAATATATACGTACATACATAAACATACATATATTCATACCAACATACATATACAAATAATACATATAAATAACTATAAATATATACGTCTAAAATATAAATGACATGGATGATTCATCTAAGAAGCGTTGTCTTTAACAGATAATTACGCACCAACTTTTTAAAAGCAAACTTATTGGGAGCTTTTCTGATGTCGTCAGGCAAGGAGTTCCAAAGGCGTGCAGCCTGAACTGTAAAGGAGTTACCATAGAACTCGGTGAAGTGAACTGGAATACATATTTTGTTGTTAGAAGACGAACGTAGAACCCTATCATGAGATGAGGAGAGATAGTGAAATTTACTCTTAAGATAAGAAGGCGAAAATGGGTCATTTAATATGAAAAAAAGAACAAGTAATATTCTGGAAATACGCCTCTGCCGGATTGTAAGCCAATTAAGCTTAGATTTATATTGCGAAATATGGTCATACTTACAAAGCCCGAAAATAAATCTTATACAGTTATTGGGAAGGCGTTCCAGCTTGTTCAGAAGATCCTGGGACAGATCCGGGTAACACACATTTGCATAATCAATTATGGGTAATATGAGTGATTGGACAACCATGATCTTAGACTTTGTGGGGAGAAAATGTTTTAAACGATACAGAATACGTAACGTAGCAGTGACTTTACGACTGACTTCAGTAACCTGAGTTCTTCAATTCAGCGTGCTGTCAATGTGTAGGCCAAGATTTTTTTACAGATTATCTGAACGGTATTGTAATCCCATTGTAGTAGATATGTCTGTGTTGATATGTAGGGGGTATGTCTGCAAGATTAATCTTGGCTAGCATCCTTGATCTACCCACCAGTATAGCTTGGCATTTTGAAGGATTGACCAACACTCCATAACAAGTAGACCAATCCTTGATAGCTTGTAAGTTGTTATTTAATTTTTTAATCTCATTATGGATATCCCAAATTTCAGCTTGCACGTATAGCTGAAGGTCATCGGCATACAGATGGTACGAGCAATCGAAGATGGAGGTAATAAAGTTTATAAAAATAGAAAAAATTATAGGAGAAAGAATACCGCCTTCCGGTACACCAGCTTCCACATCAGCCCAAGCTGAGGTTATATGCCCCACACAGACTGACTGCTGTCGACCGCGAAGATAAGATACAAACCATTCCAATGTTGTAGGGCCAAAATTTAGATGAGACAGTATGGATACAAGGATTTCATGATCAACTGTGTTGAAAGCATTTGAAAAATCAACTAGTACCAGTACTGTTACTTTTTTTTCTTCCATACCGTTTCTAATATCGTCTGTGACGTTAATTAAAGCAGTACTGGTACTATGACCAGGGCGAAACCCAGACTGATATATAATCAGTAGGTTATGTTTCGAAATGAATGTAGAAATTTGCTTGTAAACACAGGATTCTAAAATTTTGGAAAGAAAGGGTAGAATGGATATAGGGCGAAAATAATTGGGAAGAATGGGAGAAGGAACTTTTGGAAGGGGCTTTATAAAAGCCCTTTTCCAAAGATTAGGGTACTGACCTGAATCAAGGGAAAAATTTATAACACGGGAAATTGCCGGAAGAAGGTGCTCTAGTATAAATACTACCATTTGTCTACTAATCTCATCATAACCCATCGCCTTGGACTGAATTGCTAAAATAGACTTTTTGACATCATCCTGCGAAACAGGAGAGAAATTAAAGGTAGGTATATTAGGAATTTGCACAGAAGCAATGGAAGCCACAGTTTGAGAGCGAATTGTAGGGTCCATTGCTGTTACAGAAGCGAAATGTTGGTTGATTTCATCAAGTGATAGAGAAGGACCACAATCCAATGTAGCTGGCCTGCAAAGACCAAAAGAGCTAAGAAATTTCCACACTTCGGCGGGAGAAGAGTTGTTAATACAATTATGGAAATATCGGCGTTTAGCTGCCCGTACCATTTGATTGCACCTATTCCTGGCTGCTTTAAAAGATGACTAATTTTCTTCATTACGTTCTCTCTTAAAACGAAGAAAAGCTCGATTACGTCTAGTCATTGCCATCTTTACGCCCTCTGTCATCCATGGGGCTGGAGGACGCTTCAATCTAACCTTGTGAACTGAGGCATGAGCATCATAAAGGCTGAGAATATTTTGGTTAAGGATAGAGACTTTATCGTCAACAGTAGGTGCTGCAACAAATGAGGTTAGATCGAGACTAAGAGCGTCGTCCCTTAGCTTGTCAAAATCTATTTTAGAAAAACTGCGCAGATGCAGTACAGAAGGGGAATATTTGGGAGGTTTAAGCTTATACGAAGAATAAATTGGTTTCACTCCCGTTTTCGAAAATGGAGGTTTTGGATCGCGACGTATGGATCGATGTTGAGAACCGCGCAGGGACGCGGGAGTACAGTGTGTACGCGGTGTGGAGGGGCGTGCCGCGCGCCCGTCTGCGGAATCGCTGCTTCTCATCCGTTATTGTCCTTACAGTATTTGTGGCACTAGGTGATTGTGTAGCGTTTGTGTGTGACTGGCCGGCGACATTTCGGTCGTCGGAATCTAGCGGAACAGGGGGTGCGATTAGAAAATTGCGAGGCCTCCGGAGGGTCTGCACAACGTCGGAGCGTACTCGAAGGTGGCTGCGTTTACCACTAGCGGGTTGGGATGTGTCTCGGCCCTCTCGAAATAGCGCCGAGACATACGACGAGGATGTCACTATGTCTTAACTTAACTTCTGAATTTATAGTCTAATCGTTTTTTATAATAGATTTTATTATTTTTCTTAAAATATCAAAATCGGTTGATCCGTCCGAAAGTTAACGTTGTCAAAAAAATTCAAAAAACGTGTTCTTTTTTTTAATAACTTGGAAATTTCTGCTCAGATCGTTTTTAATGTAACGAGTTAACTATTAGTTCGTTAAAAATATTTGTCGAGCGTTTTGAGATCGATTGTAGCGGGAAGTCTCAGGGATGGCCTGCAGCGCCAACAGATTTTCTACATTAAATTTAAGTCACAAGTTAGACCTTAAGTGGCTACTGCAGCCCATGGATATATGCAACCAGCTTTAAATAAAGAAGGCTACAGATGTGTTGTCACCCCTGGGGATTAAGATGGAACGCCTCACAGCTGGTAATAATGCTGTAAGGGGGTGGTACCTCTCCTAAAGACTCCTAGACAGAACCTCCTCCTCCGAAAATGTGCGTACCATCTCCTAGTCATTTCGTTTACTTTCATTGCATTGTGTAAATTGTGTAAAACCATTTACACAATGCGATGAAAACAAACATCACAACGAAGTTATTCACGACACCCACTAGAGTTACCATATCGCTCTGCAGGAGTCGTGAGGTCTTTAAGCGAAATGTTTTGATTATCTATTTAAAACATAAACCGACTACAGATATCATCGGATCTGATTGAAATTAGTATGGATGGTTGTATACTTAGTTAATAAATAAACAATCAGCTCAACGTTAAGTAAAGTTACAGCCTATATAGGTCCCACTTCTGAGCAGAGGCCTCTCATTTTTGATAGGGTTTTATGGCAAGAGAGTGTCCACCGCGCTGTTCCAATATCTGTGCCAACCTCACACACCGTTGACATTTATTTAAATTTGTTTATACATACGGGTTTCCTCACGATGTTTTCTTCACCGTCGTGCACGTAGTTAATAAGTACTTATAATCGTTACTTTCGGTATATTCTCGAAGTTGTCCAGGAATATACCTACCTCGGGCAGATATTGCAACTAGGTAAGAATAATTTGGAGAAAGGAAGCCGATCGGAGGATTCGGTTAAGCTGGGCAGCATTTAGATAGCTGCGTCGGGTTTTCTTGTCGCCCATACGCCAAGTGTGAAGACAAAAATCTTCAACCAGTGCGTCCGGCCCGTACTGACTTACGGTGCCGAAACGTTGACGCTGACGATACGGCTACTCCACAAGCTCAAAATCGCTCAGCGAGCGATGGAAAGAGCTCGGAGTTTCTCTGGTAGATAAAATTCGAAATGAAGAAATCCGCCGGAGAACCAAGATTACTGACATAGCCTTCCGTGATAATTTACTGAAGTGGCATGGGACTAGCTACGTCTGTCGCAGAGGTGACAACCGGTGGAGTAGACATGCTATGAGGTAGAGACCGCGTCCAGGTAAACGTAATGTGGAACGCCCCCTAATCAGATGGAGCGACGATCTGCGCATGGTGGCTGGTAGAAACTGGATTTGTGTAGCCGAAGATCTGGCTAAGTGGCGCGCCTTGGGAGGGGCCTATGTCCAGCAGTGGACTGCCGCAGGCTGATGATGACGATGATAATGAATCGTTACTTATATAAATTATAAATATATTATATAGGTACAGTTAAAATAATAACTTCCTCCTTTTGAAGTCGGTTAAAATCGTATACATTTACCCGTGTCGTTAGCTCGCTGCCGCACCAGCAGTATAAAAACAGCTGCGACAGCATGGTCACCATGTAGATCAGCATGGAGTAGAACTGCACACTACTTGGCTCCGACTATCGAAATTGCAGGCAAATTTTTTGGTAAGTAACGATAAAAAGACATTGAAACAAGAAATGTTATTAGGGTTTTTTTTAGCTCCAATTCCCCTGCGGTAAGAGAAGATAAGCCAGATGGTATTTTCTGTGCCAGCCTATATATGGCAGCAATTATTCCATGCACACCCGGGCTTTATAAAATGTAAGCAACCGGCGAGGAGTGTTGCGCCGCACCGCAAGGACACCTAACTACCTTGCAGCTGCCTCGGCTCTGAACTCAATTACTTAACCAGTTAATGTTCAGATTCGAAGAAATCTTTGTTTCTCTTTTCATACATATTGTTACTTTCCACAACTATCAATATTCCACAACTATCAGACAACGCCATCTAGTCCCAAGCTAAGCAGAGCTTGTGTTATGGGTACTAGACAACTGATAAACATACTTATATATTTCTAAATAAATACATAAATATTATAGATAAATTACACCCAGACACAGAACAAATGATCGTGCTCATCACACAAACATTTGTCCTGTTTGGGAATCGAACCCACGACCTCCGGCGTAGCAGTCAGGGTCACTAACCACTAGACCAACAGGCCAGTCATTTCACTTTGAAAAAGATAATACAATAACGATGACGAACGAACACACAAACTACCTGATGGGATGTGGATACTGTGTGTTTACCTTTTTTAACTTTTTTAGCGTAATCCCCGGTTAATAATGAAAATGTAGATGTATTGTCACCCCTGAGGATTAAAATAGATTTTTTTTTAATAGAGAGATTTAGAATAGGGGGCAAACGAGCATGCAGCTCACCTGATGGTAAGTGACTACCGCCGCCCATGAACAAATGCAACACCAGGGGAATTGCAGGTGCTTTACCGGCTTTTTAGAAGTAAGCTCTTTTCTTGAAGGTTCCTAAGTCATTTCGGTCCGGATAATTCGCCGGTGGTAAACGATTCCGCAGAGAGACCATACGAGGTACAAAACTCCCAATAAAACGCACAGTGGTGGACCGCCAAGCATCCAGATGGTGTAGATGGTATAGTGAGTTTTGTCGCAATGTGCGTTCGTGAAATTTGGTGGCTGGAATTAATCACAACAATTCCTCAGAGCACTCCCCGTGGTAGATGCGATAGAAAATGCAAAGGAATGCAACATCACTTTGGAGCGCCAGTGAATAGAGCCGATTAGAAAGAACTCGGTCGTCGACTATTCGAGCCGCTCTGCGCTGGAAACAGTCAAGTGGAAAGAGCTGGCACTGGGGTGCCCCAGCTCAGAGATGAGAACAGTATTCCATGTGAGGCCGAACTTGCGCCTTGTAAAGTACGCCGCTCTGCTGAGCACGTCAAGCTTTTGAGGGGCCAATTTGACTTTCTCTTCCAAGTGACTACGAAACTGCACGTCATTGGATATGTCGACGCCGAGGATTCCGATACTAGTTGAGGCAACAAGGGGAGTACCCTGAAACCGAGGGACAAAGGGGTTCTTATTAGCGGTAATGAATTAATTTCTTAATTTTAATTAATTAATTATAATTTTTGGCGATGGAAATGGACTAGATTTAGACGCCTCCAATACGAAGTGTAGGGTGTCCCCCCACTAGATGGAGGGACGACCAGGTAAGATATGCAGGAAGTCGATGGATGCAGGTGGCTCAAGACCGTGCTTTGTGGCATTCCTTGGGGGAGGCCTATGTTCAGCAGTGGACTTGAAGGGCTGTAATGATAAATACGAGACTGTTCAACAAAGTCACGGATTGGAGGCGTACTAGGTGAAGTTTTCCCTTAATTAATGAAGTGAAATGAGAATGTCTTATTACCAGTCAAAAGGGTCTCCGATTTTATAGACTCACTTTACAAAACACAGCAGCATTAAGCTGCTATTTTACGCTGATATTCTGTGAGAGTGTGGTCCTTCCCCGGTCGAGTCTACCCATTCGTGCTCTACCAATTAAAAAATTTCTAAAAATAACTAACATATTTAAGTCTATTAAGCTAAGCTACTACGATTCCATATATTATAATATTATAGAAGTTAACAATAATCAATAACAAACAATTTCTGTATGATAAAAATGTAAACAAACTTATACCATGGTTATACGAAGGCCAATGATGCATATAATGGCAACAGTTCCACTCAGCTGAAAGAATATGTTCGCGTGGTATGTATTTTCCACAGTTTCTATTAATCTGTAAGCAATTGGCAACATTTATTTTTCTTTTTCAATAAAAATATTAACCGTGTAGCGTTGGTGAAAGAATATCCATTACCCCATACCGTCCCATGGGTGTCGTAAGAGACGACAGAGTGAAACAAACCTACAATTCTGTTGTCAAAATGTAGATTTAGCGTAGTAATTATCATCTAGATATATTCGATAGTAGCCCTGTTAGATTTAATATTTAATGTATATTTTATATTTTTAATATTTTCTACTACTTAGTGTCTACTGCAGTTATATTATTATGCTGTGTACTCTTTTTTGGCTTGTAGTTTAGATCAACACCATTGTACTATTAATTTTAGAACCGTATATAACTAAGGTGCCTGCGGGTAATAAGGCCTGTCGGCTAATAAGGCCTAAGTAACGAAAATCGTATTTATAATCACCGCACTCGCTTAAGGAGATAAATACAAACTTCTACTGCACGATAATGTCTCTACAAGTTTGCAGAGATGCGGTACCCCGCTTCCTGCTACCACAGTTGTATTATCTATACAAATAAATAAAATTGAAGTGTCTGTTTGTAATGTCAAAATTACAGTTTTTTACTAAATGCATATGAAAGTAAATACGATACCTATAACTAAAATACAATTTTTAAAATTTTTGTCTGTCTGTCTGTCTGTTTGTTCCGGGTAATCTCCGAAACGGCTGGACCGATTTTGACGGGACTTTCACTGGCAGATAGCTGATTTCATAAGGAGTAACATAGGCTACTTTTATTTTAGAAAAAGAATCAGGGTTCCGCGCAGAAACATAAAAACACTAACACGCGAACGAAGTCGCGGGGATCAGCTAGTCTATCATATAATAAACAACCGCACTGCACCAATAATAAAAATCAGTCCAAATAAATCGTAGGTGTGTTTTATAATATTATACTTAGCTATCTAAAGTCGTAATCTTTATCTTTATGAATAAATGTTTTGTTGATCTTGAACATTTGAGTAACGTATCGTGGTTAATTTTTTTTTAATTTGGTTTTTCTTAAATTCTTGTGTTTTTTATTAAGGTTTGTGTTGGTTATTAAGGCCTACTAAACTTCACCTTATTATACTCCTTTTCTTGTGTAGCTTTTTTGTTTTATTATGATATTAATTTAAAATATTATAAATGCAAATAAATCGTACGCTTTTATTATTAAACTAACGTCGTAGTCAGAAAAACGGTCTGGTTTCACCTGTCCAAACAGTGCAATGGTGCAATGACAAAGTGTGTTGAAGAATTAAGGCTTTGACATTAGAAGCTATGAAATTATGTGTAAGTTATTGGTCCTTACTGTCTGCTTGTGTACTTTATCTATACAAATAAATAAAATTGGAGTGTCTGTTTGTAATTTTTTTTTTCATTTATTTTGGCAACAAACAGTCATATTTCTTAATATATAGTTTACATTATGTATGTAATGTCAAAATAACAGCTTTTCACTAAATGCATATGGAAGTATAGGTATACGGTACTTATAACAAATACACAATTTTAATATTTTTGTCTCTCTGTCTGTCTGTTCGTTCCGGCTAATCTCCGAAACGGCTGGACCGATTTTGATGGGATTTTCACTGGCAGACGGCTGATGTTATAAGGAGTAATTTAGGCTACTTTTATTTAAGAAAAAGAATTAGGGTTTCGCGCAAAATATTTAAGCACCTAAATTACACGCGGGCGAAGTCGCGGGGCACAGCTAGTTTAGTAAATAAAACCGTCCGGAGATGGGCAGCTGCGTCTTCCTGATAACAATTACGAGTAGAAAAGTTATGGCAAATAGGTATCAATCATACGAGGGAGGCCTAGAATTGTTTAAAAGTAAATTGTAAAACTGTGTATAATGGCGGCGCAAGGAACAGAAACAGGAGATGGGCAGCAGCAGCTTCCTGATAATTAAAAAAAAATAAAAATTACGGTAGCCAAACCCGCCTGCGACGCAAGTAATAATAGCAAAATTCCTCCTATGACGCAATCTATGGGGGAGGATAGTGGTTCAGTGGTGGACTTTTGATAGGCTATAATGAATGAATGAATGAATGAATATTGTTAAAGTTCAGTTAACCTTCAGTGAAAACCACAAATATGTCACCATCATAATCGAGTTGCAGCTGTAGCCAGCTTGAGAAACACACGTTTTATCCATTACCCCATTCGTGCCGTGGATGTCGCAAGAGCCGACTGTGGGATATACATTGTGAGGTAGACATGCCGCCCAATAAAAGGCGGTAGGTACAATCATCAAGCTATTTAGATCATTGGCGGGGGCGGAGAGCAACATCAAAGCTGTGAGACGAAAGTTGCCATTGTCAATCCGCCTGCCCTCCTACGTAATACTACGGCAGACACTCGTGCTCAGCAGTGGTAAAATTAAAAATTTTACACAACCGAATTCAATATAAATAAAATGCAAACATCATCAATGTAGTCCAAGTCAATTAAATACGTTTTTTTTAATGATTACTCAAAAAGTAAGTAGTCAGATCTTGGTACACGGGACTACATGAGAAGCACCAGCTTTCAAATAAAAAATGAATCATTAAAATCGGTAAAACACACGAAAAAAACACAAAGTTATCATAAAAAATGATGGGTACAAGTGACTCAATACTTTGTTGAATTTTTTGTAGAAATCTTAGGCTTAATATTAGAATGACACACGAGTTAGTCTACCTGAAGGAAAGTGGCGGCAGGTATATGTAAGAGGATGGTACTAACCCAAACTGACCTGACGGTACCTAGGTAGGTAAGGTAGGTAGTATAAAAATTACAGTCGAATTGAGAACCTCCTCCTTTTTTGAAGTCGGTTAAAAAACTAATCTTCGTGAGAATGACACGAATGCAGAGTATCAGGAGATGATAATTGTAGAGTTTATTTATTATACGCATAGAAGTATATTATACTATTGTTACCAAGTTTAAAAATTCTGTTACAATGACACGAGTGGCTTATGGTAACTAAAGTATGAATATCATTTTAGTGTTGATTTATTTAATATGATAATTTAAACCACAAGTGCAGCATAAAATTTAAGATAATTTTGTTATTTTATAGCAAATTAATTTTACAATCCTTATTTTTAGACACGTTTCTTTGACACTAAAATGTCGTAGGGCAAAAGAAAATTTTCTTTCGAGTAAAATTGTTTTGTAATAGCGCCATCTACTTCATTCTATAAAAAATACAAAAATTGATTGACTCTCAAGGTGCTAGATGGCCCGAAATTATAAAATCGTGGATTGTTATGAATGGATTGGTTAAGATAATTGCATTCAATATGCTTAATTTTATTTATTTAAAAAATTTATTAATTTTGTATACTGTTTAACAATAAAAATTTATATTACCCATCTTTAAAGCATCGCACAAAGAAACTGATTAAATAATGTTACTACGTAAACAAAGAAGAGACCGAGATAATAGGAAACATTGTAATTAAAAAAAATACCAACAATGCTATTAATATTACTAACATTACCTTTAACCACTACTGGTAAGCTGAAATGTTCACGACAGTAGTCGAATGGCGGATTCGAACCCACAACCTATTGAGTTCGCGGTCCGCACCCTGCCATTAGGCTACAGTCACTACACTGTATTCTATCTCATTTTCTCGCAGGCTAAATCATATACTTAGATGTCATATATTTCTCTCTTTTTAGTGTCACTTCAAAAATATTTTGTTCTAGTCTCGTGCCACACTTACACAACCTACAGCTACGCGCAATGAGTTTCATAATCACATTTACCTTATAACAGTCTGATGTTGAGAGATGCAGTCGACGAGCAATTCATTGTTACGCTTAGTTATTTTAATCTTTTCTTCGTTTCTTAATTTTGTAGATAGCGGTATTTCTTGCACCTGAAATAAAGAAACGTTTATAGTAAACAACCTACCAACCTAAGCGCGGCACTTTCTCTTTCACGGTCGGAGGTTTGGCTGTATGCATTCCCTTGCTCCCAGTATAAGCATAATTCTGTGGTATAAGTGTGACCGCTTGTAGCAAATAACTTCTTTTCCTACCGTTATTATTTATCAAAATCTGGTGGTATCAACAAGTTACCCTACCCACATAACTCAGGATCAGTAAAATCAAAACATTTTTAAAGGGTCGCTCTGTAGATCAGTTATGCCTGCAGTTCAAATTTTTCGGATCAACTTGGGACGGACCACGCTCTCATGAGACACCAGCGTAAAATAGTAGGATAACACTGCTGTACTTTGTATGATGGGCGACTAGAACCGGATACCCTTTTTAGGGTTCGATACCTAAAGGGTAACGGACGCGACCCTATTACTAAGCCACCGCTGTCCCTCCGTTTGTCTGTCAGCGGGCTGTATCTTATGATCCATAGTATGTAGACAGTTAAAATTTTCACACAATGTGTATTTTTATTGCCGCTTTAACAACAAATAATAAAAATTAAAATAAATTAAAAATTAAAAGGGGCTCCCTCTACTAGAACCGTGTATTATGATGGTACGGAACCCTTCATGCGCGAGTTCGACTCGCACTTGACCGGTTTTTTACGTGTAACGAGGCATTCCGGCTTGATCGTCAAAGATCTACGGACCGTAGGGCAGGATCCACATACCAGGTGGGCTGTATGCCCTTTTGTCAAATTTACTTATAAAAAAAGGAAATAGCTCACCCATAGCGTGGGTCCATTGTTCAGGCATGATCCTGCACTTCCTGACGTTAATAATTAGGTGGATCTTAATACCTTTACAGATTCAGTTAATATTTACATTTCTATTTTACTTTTATACATATTTATATATCTATATAAAATACATTGATGTGTAGGTTTGCACGATGCAGTAATGCCGTTAAAATAACTCTTTTTAAGCCATACTGCCAGTCTTTCTATTCGTGCTCCTTTTGGGTCAACTACACACAAAGGGCGTATAAAGCATTAAAGGTGCAATATAACAATTAATTTAGAGTTCTTTTGGGGTTGCCCCGCTACTGCAGCGCTTCAGGCATGTTCTGTGAGGCCCGCACTGACGGGTTTGTCGCGATAATGCGCAAAAAAGCCGCATCGCTACTAAGCAGAACAAGGAATAGCTCCAAGAGTATCCTGGGTGTTATAGCACATAAACATGACTGTCCTATATATAATAAGGCAAATTATTAACGTCCTGCATGGCTGACTTACCTGTGTGTGTATGTGTGTATGTATGGCTGCGAGCGCTAGCGCGCGCGCGCGTGTTTGTGTGTGTGTGTGTGTGTGTGTGTGTGTGTGTGTGCGCGCGTGCGCGTGCGCGTGCGTGTGCGTGTGCGTGTGCGTGCGTGTGTGTGTGTGTGTGTGTGTGTGTGTGTGTGTGTGTGTGTGTGTGTGTGTGTGTGTGTGCGGTTGCGTGCGTATTTGTATGCGTGAATCCGTGCGTGCGTGCGTGTCATTTTACTTTCTCTGTCCACCTAGCTGTACTATTATTATTATTTTGTGATTTTTCTAATATCTGTGATATGAATCTCATTTGTTATCCGAAATAAAGATTTATTATTATTATTATTATATTGAAAAGCAAGTAAATGTAATTGGAGAAACATACTGAATTGCCGAATTCTCTTATTTATCAGCATGTGACAGTTCTCTGATCGCGCATTCTGGCAAGAGCCCTGACTGGACACTGTTTTTTAAAAGCACATGTCCATTCTCTGCGACTAGGCGACTAAGCGACTCAGGGATGTGCCGGTTTTGTTCCTTAACGGAAGAAACGCCTCTACACACCCTGATTGTGGACCCTTAATGCGCGAACGTAACGCTCATCTGAGAAACTATGTATTCCGCCCAGAAGAAGTGAAATTGCTCACAGCTAAAGAACTCCTTCTATTCATTGAAGACATGTATATAGACATAGCTTAGCAGTGAGCTATGGCTAGCACCGATCACAATAGATCTTTTAGGTCGCAGTGATACTGGTCTTTCTAGACCTGCATAGCTGCTCGCACTTAATTAAAAAAACAGTTCACTGTGGGACACGGGCCTTACCAATTCCTAAAAAACATTTATTCACTATGGTTTAGCCATTCCGGGAAGAGTTTATTATAACTGTCACGCTTGGAAAGCAGATTTTAATTTTTAATTCCATAAGTGTTCATAATAATACTTATTAGTCTTTGATTAGTATTCTTAATTTTATTGCTAATGTTTATTTTATTTTTTACTATTTGTCATTATTTTTCACTACGTCCGGGGTTAACTTGGAGAAAACTCCAAAAGGCATTGAAGTCTGCCCCTTGTAACTCATTTTAGACCCGTCAAATAAGGTCTGAAATCAAAATTTGACACTCAACTTTGCATTTTTGATATAATGTAGTTTTAATGATACAAAAACAATGTGTGCAGGTTTTCGAATCTGCAACCCCGGGCAACGGTTGAAAAAAAATGTCAAAAGTGTTTGTTCGCAATTACCTTAACGGTGAAAATTTTAAAAGGTGAAACCTTTACACATTATTTTTGTATCACTAAATCACTATCACTATCAATCACTATAAGGTCTGAAATATCTAATGTAGGTTACATTAGATATTTCAGACCTTATTTGACTGGACTATTTTAAGGAGATAACAATAAAGCATACATAAACAAAATTGACGATCGCAAGAATCCTTAGGCGCTATTCCTTGTGTCCGGTCTGGGTATTAAGCTGGGGCGTAGCGACTGCCGTATAAGCCGTATCAATGATACGGGGCCCCGAACCTGTACAAGCAAAAATTCTAAGGACTTCTATGGGACAGGAAAGGCTATCAGACTTGTCACTATTGTCTATAGACGCAAAAAACTTAGAAAAACTGAAATCGTAGTCTGCTATGAATGAGTTAATAAATAAGTTCGCCGAATAAAAGGTAAGAAAAGTGTATATTTGATTTGAATTGTTTGGCTAGCTTAATTCCTAGGAGTATCAATTGTTAGTAATAACTTATAATCATATATTAACATATATATATATATATATATATATATATATATATATATATATATATATATATATTTTAACTCAATGCGAGAGTTTTTATTCCTTGTGTGAAAAATCTATACCCTTCATTTGGGGCCCCCAATAAATTTTGATACAGGGCCCGCTTAAGGCACGCTACGCCACTGGTATTAAGATCTGTTTTAAACGATACAAGTATGGTATACCGCCAACATATAGAGGCCACTAAGTCCAACTTCGACCGAGAGGTCAATCGACGGATTCAACTCGGTTGGGCAGCGTTCGGGAAATTACGGCACATCTTCTCGTCAGGTATACCTCAAAACTTGAAAACGAGACTGTACACCCAGTGCGTGTTGCCAGTGATGACATACGGAACTGAGACGTGGTCCTTCACTGCTGGCCGGATGAGGAAGCTCAAGGTCGCTCAGCGAGCTATGGAGAGGGCTATGCTCGGAGTTTCTCTGCGTGATAAACTCAGAAATGAGGATATCCGCAGTAGAACTAGAGTGACCGACATAGCCCAACGGATTAGTAAGCTGAAGTGGCAATGGGCTGGCCATATAGCTCGAAGAACCGACAACCGATGGGGAAGAAAGGTTCTCGAGTGGCAGCCTCGTACCGGCAGGCGAAGTGTAGGGCGTCCCCCCACTAGATGGAGTGACGACCTGGTAAGATATGCAGGAAGTCGATGGATGCAGGTGGCTCAGGACCGTGCTTTGTGGCATTCTTTGGGGGAGGCCTATGTTCAGCAGTGGACTTGTGAAGGGCTGTAATGATGATGATGATGATGAAGTCGTCCTGCCCTTTCCCGTAGTCGTTCCTTAATTGTCTTTTGAAGGGTTATAATAAATGAATGAATACCTCTTGTAATTTATCAATAATGATCTCCAGTTGTGCGCAACCAAACATAATCATGCCAAGCGTTACGCTGTCCACGGCGAAGAACAAAGAAGCGCTGATGTAGATGCTCATCATCTGGTACAAGTAGCCCAGTTCGTACTGCGGCGATTTCTCTGGACCAATTGGCATCCTACAAAAACTGCTGTTGTAGTTTGATTTGTTTTTTAATTAGTCTAAGAATTACTACTAAGAGCCTATAGATTTTTAGTTAATTCAACTATTTATGTGACGAGATTAATATCTGTGACGGCTCTTCTAAATAATGCAGAGGTTGGTGTTCTTCTTTTTTCTTATATTGGTATTAATTATGCTTCGGCTGTTTAATACGAGTATCCCTTGCCAAGATCTTACACCTGTTTTGTTTTATTTATTTATTTTAATATATTACATTTTCGGAATATGTTCAGATTTTATATCTTCTTTTACTTAAGTATTCTTATTGAATTTCGTCAGCTATATGAATTTATGTATATCCCAAATTTTCTGAGAAATGATGAGAAATCCCCTCTAATATACATTCTTAATTTAAGGCATCACAGCTAACCAAAAGTGGAAAAATCCAAAATGCTAGACTTGTTAAATTAGATTTTTATGAGTTGTTATTATTAATATGCTATTGCCCATCTTCTGTTTCATTTCTTATAGTCGCCATTTACGACACCAAATGGCATAATGGATTTCATCACGCCGCCACTACGCGGAAACATATTATTTTCATAGTTACTTACCAAATTCTAAACGGGAAAAATCTGGCACCAGCATTATCGAGTAGGGGCATCAGCGCCCATAAAGTGACAGTTGCCAACGCGGTCGTCAGAAAGAACATGCAATAGTTCTTGATTTTTTGAGAACTTTTAATTAGGATCCTAAAAATATAATAAAATAATGTAAATTGAGCATTTTTTCAGTGGCAGTGTAGGAGAATCCCCACCACTTATTGCACGCCTCATAACGCGTAGCGTTATTAGGTAATGCGACTCTTGACACGTCAAGGTTAAGCAATTTTGTGTTCTTAAAATACCTCTATCATAACCATATTGCACTTTATGATAATATGAGTAGCCGTATATCAAGAAAACACTCTAATTAATCCATCTTATATTTTCCAAAAAATCATTTTATATTGCTCGTTTGAAAAAAAATTTACGTGGACGTCCGGATGTTGATTTTGTATGTGGTCACGATAACTCCCGAAAAAATTGACGTATCGAGACTAGGTTTTTTATTAGCTCCAGAATTACATCAACTGGTTTCCTATTTCATATCAATAGCCTAGTATGCGTAGTTTGTTCATAAAATTATTTTCAACTTGTATAATTTCTGTTGCTATTAAAATTTTTTTCCTAAAACCTATTCAATATATTTTTAGCCCTTGATAAACAAAGGACAAATGTACCATACAGTTCTATATCGATTTTATACTTTGTGTAATCGATTTATTTTGATAATTTATTTTTTGTCATCAAAATTAAATGAGAATTAATGCCTTGAGGCATTCTCCACCATTAAATTTTTAAAAGACCGGCAACGCACCTGCAATTCCCCTGGAGTTGCAATTGTTCGTGGGCGCTGGTCGACATTTTCCACCAGGCGAGCTGCATGCTGGATTTTCCCCTCTTCTAAATAAAAAAAGAAAAATCTAATGGATTCCGATAGATGGCATTTTTAACGTGGTAGCCTGAAAGGACTTAGCTCTCACAGAATGCCAGGGTAAAATAACAACTTAATGCTGCTGTGTTTTGTATGGTGAGTGTCGAAAACCGGAGACCCATTTCCTGTTAATTAATAAGCCATTCCATTTTAGTCCTCAGGGGCAACGCTTCTACATTTTGATTCTTAATTGAGGATAGATGTAGGTGTCTATGGACCTCAACATCCTCGTACTGTCAGGTCAACTGTGTGCTTGTTTGTCACCCTAATTATCTTTAAAAAAACGTTAAATACCAGATCGAATTAACGGCAGCGTCAAAGGTGCGAGGCGGAGGTCTATGTCGTCACGTCTATGTGAGTGTATAATGAAGAAGATTCTGGTGTAGTGTGATCCATGTACTTACTATGTTATTATTGATATTTATATGTTAAGATAGTGAAAATAAGTAAAATTTTAGCGTCCAACAAAGGTTGGAACAATTATCATAAGAAAAAAACAGAGCAAACGTGCTAAAAGTTAGTCTGCTCTGGTGATGAATATTTTTTCGCCGCACCACGCCGCACGCATTAAGGTCTAAAAGATTAAGGCCTAGTAACATAATTTCATATTACGTTTGGTACTTACAGCTCATGTTGCTTTGTTTGTGGCGCAAAAATTTCAGATTTCATAAACTCAAATAATATTGTTAGATTCTTTCTATTAACAATGAACACAGTCACTTTATAGCATACCGAAGCTTGTGTGAAAAGCAGGTACGAGGCTTCCGACATGGAGTCAATGTCTCCCCACACACCAGCTATATAAATGAATTCAAACAAAATGAACGCGTACTGCGTTAGCATTATTAAAATTGTATAAAGTGCGTGCAACAATAAATAGTTTTCAGGCGGGAACCAGATGCCCAAGGCTTTTAATACTTTTCTCGGGCGACTAAGAAACAAGTCTATATTGTTGATTGCCATTTTATGAAATGTTGAGTTTTTTATCCGGGTGAGGTATATTTTGTAAGAATATGTTGTTTCATGCCCTTCATATATACAGGTTGATGTATTATCTTTTGTTAAAAAAAAAGTTGGTTTGAAAACCTTACTACTGATATAAAAAAGAAGTGAATTATTTTAGTGTCCACTTTTAGCTGTTTTTATAATTAATAACATCATCGGAAAAAAATATTCATACTCGACTCCGACTGCTGCACTCCAAATAAAAGTTAAAAGAATGCTTAAAATCTTGAACATCCTGTGTAACTAATTTAGAAAGTTAAGTACGTAATTACATTTTGGACGTGTTCAAATTTAGATAATCGAATTTCAAGCTGACTTACGCACGCACACATTGGAACAGTTTTCCGCTATATTTTATATACTCGTATTAAATACCTTACTAAACTTGATACTTGCTCAGACCAACAAAGAAACAAAGGCGGAGCGCTGCGTATATTTTAAGTGAAGCCGAAACCATGCTCATCTTCTTGACACACACTCTCGCATACATCTTTTTTCTTTCTTTCTTTATTAGCGTGCAAAATTTTATTAATGGACGCACACATAGATGCACCTAAAACCATGTTAATCGTTGCAAATGATTTTAGATGCTTACATGTAAATGAGTGCGTGTTTTTGCAATAAAGTGAGCACGGTTTGGCTTGATTTTTACATCCCTTTAAATGTACGCAGCGCTTTGTTTTTCTATGTTTGTAGGTATGAGGATACTTATAGCATTATTAGTTTTACAAGGTATTGAATAAAGTTAGTTGGCGAAATTTTGCAATCGCATTTGGTATCTGGCATGATAATCATGTTATTTCATCAGTCCCCACCCCGTGACCATGGGTGCTGTAAAGCACCTGAAACGTCGGGAATTAAAAAGTTAAATTAAGCGCGATAAAATCCGTAAAAATTAGTTTCATTTAATGTGTAGTCTTCGCGTAAATATATAAAATCATTGAATAAAACTACTTTTACGGATTTTATCGCGTTTAATTTACTTATTTTTATTAATTAGGTCAGTAGCCTAATGGCAGGGCGCGGACCGCGAACTCGAAAGGTCGTGGGTTCGAATCCGCCATTCGACTACTGTCGTGAACCACTTCTAACACAATCATTTTAAGCTTACCAGAAGTGGTTAAAGGGAATATTAGTAACGTTTAATAACATTACTAGTATTTATTTAAAAAAAATTCGGGTACACGGGGACCTGGTCCCCCGTGACCATGGGTGGGTGTGGTGTTCGCGTAAATATAAGAAATCATTATTGCTCTTCTTACTTACGCAATTGATCATTAGCGGCAATAAAACAGTGTTACTGCACTACATGTTCAGTATAGGCAATTACATACATTTCGACTATACCGTAATACGTCCCCGCCACAATCAGACACCAGTGTAACGTGAGATATATAATTAGATGATAACACCAAAGTATGCAAACCATTTTCTCAGTGTAACACAGGGCAGCCTCTCAGCAACATCTTCCTTGCCTGCACCTGTCAACTTTTCTTCTAGTTTTCAAGGGCGAATTTGCACTGTGTAAAACAGTGCTCCTTTCAATAATTTTTTTTTTCTGTTCTGGGGACTTCACTAACTGTAATATGAGATCGAGTATTTCTGATATAAGCATAGGTACTGGTATCGCCATTAGTAAACAAATGTGAACAAATGAGTCCGAGGTCAAATAAAGACCTTTTACCTGTAGAACCCATTAACATTTTTTGCTAATTTAAAATTGCAAACTGCGTAAAAAAATCCAACTATCAAATGAAAAAATAAAACCAAATTAAGAAAAAAAAATTTTACAGGAAAGGAACATTTTTGTACTTAATTTTTTTTTTTCATAATTGCTTAGCAAAGTTTATAAAGTGGGCTATAATCAGTACTTAGCGTGTGTTGCCCCTTCTAGCTCTTCGAACTGCTTCTACTCCTTTTGGCATACTCATAATCAAATTATCAATAAAATCTTGAGAGATTGTGTTCCATTCTTACTGTAATGCGTTTTTAAGCTCTCTCAAATTAGCAGGGGCAGGATTTCTTTTCTTAATTTGTTTCCTATAAAATCTCAGTTACATAGTGTGCCGCTGTTAGTGACCCATTCTCAATGACGCGGAGTTCCGTATGTCCCCCATACACCTTTCCATACTATAACCGGCCCACTATATGCCTCTTTTACAATGATGTTGCACTGAGCGTACCTTTATCCAGGGCGCCTCCACACTAATCCTTCCATCATCAGGCTTCAGGCAAAATCTGGACTCATTTGTGAATAGAACTTGACTCCAAACTTCGTCATTCCAATTTTCGCGATTGCGAGCAAAATTAACTAGAGCTACTCGACGGTATGTGGTAAGAAAGGGGCCTCTGTCAGGCAAGTGTGAACTTATTCCGGCTGATTTCAGGTTTTTTTTTCACAGTTTTTGTGCTTACTGTAACCCCTTGAACTTCTTGGAGCTTCATTCTTACCTCAGAAGAAGTTAAGGTCCGGTTTCTAAGCACGCTGGTAATGATGAACCGGACATGTCTGACCACAGTTTTCCGTTAATGTCCCCGTCCTGCGAGTCTCGTTTACTGTACGATTTGCCGATACTTCTTGCAGCTCAGTGTACCACAGATATTATATTCGTAATGTTTGGATCACATAATAATTTCTTATGTTTACACGAACGCCACACATTTAAATAAAACTAGTTTTTTCGGATTTTATCGCGTTTCTATTAACTTATTTTATATTCACGACGTTTCTAACACTTTGCAAAACCCATGGTCCAAGGGACGGACTGAGGTGTTCTACATCCCAATGTTAAATAAAAACTAGTTTTATTTGAATTTGGACCACATGTTTGTAGGTGTGTCCAATTTCAATTAAACTAACAGCCCTAGTAACTAGAATGGCGTTTGGATCTGGCATTCTCAGTTTATTTGCAGTAACAATTCACATTTAATACGAAAAACAAGCCAATCAAGGCAAAAAACAAATTCAAAAGCTGCAAAATTTTTTGTTGGCAGTATGAATGAACGCAATGTTGTAAAATAACAAATGAAATTCAAAAAAACATTCCATCTCTCTTTTTTTTAATAGCATTTACTAATGTTTGTGGCCAGTACACACGATAATTACAACAGAAGAAATTAAACCTTTTTTGCGTTTCTCTAAATTTGGTCATGTATGTACTCTTTTGATACTATGCCCGACAAAATTATAACTTTGTTGCACAGTTACAAATAATGTTTGCATTTCTAAATCTCTTTGACTGCATTATTATTCATTAACTACCAAATTTAAATTTTTATCAATTTCAAAAACAAAAACAATAAACAAAAAAAAGCTATTTTATTTTTCATTTTACAGGGTAAGGGTTAAAATAGATGTTCTTCTAACATATAATGTAATCTATTATTATATTAAATTAAACTACATAAAACAGTGAAAATAATCGTATATCCCATTGACCTATTATGTACTACGTACTACGTACGTAGTACATTATAACTCAATGTTATATCCCCGTATTTTCATAAACATTTCACATGGTTTGAATTTTTTATTTCTTATGTATAATATAATATAACCTAACTCAAAATACTTTTTCTACTAACTATTTTCCTTGGGGGTTTGTCAATTGGATTGTATTTTTGTTTCTTAAATTTGTAAGCGATTTCATATATTTTACTTAACTTTGAAATTGACGCTAAAAGGGAAATTAAGAAAACCTCTGTTGAGTTTTCTTGATAGCATGCACAAATACTGTTTAAAAATAAAAATAAATCTTTTATAACTATTTAGACCATAAAATTTCCCAAAGTTATTAGTAATTAACAATTGTGTAAGTTGGCAGGCGTAATACGAGTATAGCTCGTTAATAAAGTTATAAACGCTATTAAACGAATGCAGTCAAAATGTGAAATTTAGGCCCTAAGCCGTACTTATTATAAAAGTTTATGAGTTTTATTTTATACTTATAATAAATTGTATCTATTAAAAAAAATATGTACGTCATGCCGCTTTGGTCTTTGATAGGGAAAGGGGAATACCTTCCGCCATCATGAAGCCGCTGCGATACCGCCGCTTGGACATCGCATCGGTGGAAAAATGGTTCTACCGAGTAACTAAGACGGTAGCGCAATAAGAGCGCGACCACTATGCCATCTATCGTAGACCATTACATTCTATTAACATTGCCCATATTGACACTTATGACACCCAGAGGATAAGATAGGGTGATCGGTTCTCTTTCGCCTTTATCACATGGCTTCAGTTTTAGGGTTCAGTACCCAAAGGATAACCAACGGGACCCTGTTACTAAGTCTCCGCTGTCCGTCCGTCTGTCTGTCAGCGGGCTGTATTTCATGATCCGTAATACCTAAGTATTACGGAACTACCTAAGTAGACAGTTGAAATTTTCAAAGAATGTGTATTTCTGTTACCGTTATAACAACAAATAATAAAAATTAAAGTAAATTAAAAGTGGCTCCCCTACTAGAAACGTGCATTACGATGATACGGAACCTTTCGTGTGCGATTCCAACTCACACTTGGTCGGTTATTTAGATCCAAGTGAGAAAAGTTGCCTGTTAACTTACAAAGTTTCTGTTCTATGTAAAAAGCGTTTAAAGTAACATCAACGATTTAATAATTAGCAGCTGTAATTATTACAGGACTGTGTTTCCTAATTTGCACCTTTGAAAAGTTACTAAACAAAAGTTATTAGAACTTTTAATTACAGACTTTATTCACATAGAAGTCTGTGGTTGTAAGTACCATTTACGGTAGGTATATGTAGGCATATTAGATACATTATTTTTTCGTGGTAGCGCCACGCTGTAACTATATTATGGTTGTAGCAGGAATGGGTTGGTTCAACCGGGGACCCACCAGCTTAATACTGCTATGATCCGTATGGTGAGTGTAGAGAACCGGAGACCATTTATACGTGGTAGGGCCATGCCGCAACCATATTAGTAGTATAGTT